CGGGGGCAGGGAGTTGCAACAAACAGAAGTTAGGAGCTTATGGAAAATAAGTGGCTAAGCCTGAGGGTTAGGATGTAAAACCTAAAGGCTGACACTGGCTTTCATGACTCAGTGCCTTTTCTCTTGCAACTGTTATTTGTGGCATCCAAGGTGTTTTAATCCTTTATGTGCCAACCTTAAGTATTCCTTGGTATAGCAAACAAAGCGAAACAAAATAAAATTATGTATTTAGAGAAGGAGAACAAAGGGGAAAGGAAAAATCGTTTGAGCTTTTTTGCAGGTATTTCACTTGTCTATGTTCCTTTCCGTAGGGAAATGTCAATGTTTGTAAGTGCAAAATTATGATATAATCTTGAGAGCTGTTAATGATTTGCTGAGCTGAAACAGTTTTCTACTTTCTTCATTAGTTTCTTACGTTTGGCCCTTTGAGCTAATAGAAGTGTAAAATAATACTGATACTGTACTGGAGAGAGTATGAAGAATAAAATTGTATTTTCACTGTCACTGTTCAAGACAGCATGACTGTTGTGAAGTATGTTTAAATATTAATGCTTTGTATTGAAGAAATAAAATTTAGTGACTCTCATTTTTGTGTCATTGAGCAGTAAGGTTAGATGTTGTAGTTAGTAATCTTTTAAACAACTTGAAATCTTGTGGATTTCTTTCAGTTCAACAGCAGCATAGCAGTGCTGCAGCTGCTGCCCAGCAAGGTGGCTATGAAATTCCAGCAAGATTAAGGACCCTTCATAATCTTGTTATTCAGTACGCTTCCCAAGGTAGATATGAGGTTGCCGTACCACTCTGTAAACAAGCTCTTGAAGATCTGGAGAAGACTTCGGGTCATGATCATCCTGATGTTGCCACTATGTTGAACATACTTGCTTTGGTTTACAGGTTTGTATACTGACATAGATAAATATCAGTTAAATAGTATTTGGCTATAAACTGTTAACGTTTAGACTAACATTTTTTGACTGTTGTATTCTTTACCATTCCCTGATTTTTATTAAAACCCTCAAGAGAGTCCCGCAATATTTATACGTCTCCCTATACTAAAAGTCAAACCAGTTGCTGCATTTTTGCCTGTGCCTTTGTTTTGGGAGTGAAGCTATTTTTGATACTTTTTTTTGTGTGTCTATTGAGGGGGCATGTCTTGATTACCCACTTAGAGATAATCTAGAGGTATAAATTGCACCAGTGTAAAAGTAGTAGTGCCTGTCCTCAACCCGCAAATTACTTTACAGTTACAGGCTTCAGGTTTTTACTTACTGATTTCTGAATATATTCTCAATTACTCTTCTTTTGTACTAGCATCTTTAGACCAGTACTGAAGTCAGCTTCATTTTTGTGACTTTCTTTTCTGAATCCTTAGCATTAATTATGACTTTTTAAAATTTAGAGACCAGAACAAATACAAAGATGCAGCAAATCTCCTGAATGATGCCTTGGCTATCCGTGAAAAGACTTTGGGCAAAGATCATCCAGCGGTTTGTATACATGCAATATCATATTTTTAGTTGTGTTTTTCACTGAATTTTTTTTCAACTTATTCTAATATTAAACTCAACAGGAAAGTTTTTAAGACCTGGCTTATCTCTAAACAGTACAGGTAGGAGGCCACAATGTAACATTCTTTGTTTTCTCTTAAATACTTAGTGTGCCTTTTGAGCATTATATTCAATGCTGTTTCACCACAAATGACTTGCACACGCTTGATTTTGGGTTGCATGGATTTTCTAGGGGAAATTAATTTGTGAAGAAAGATTTTTCATTTGCTTACTCAAATCACTTTTAAATTCAGATTGAAGGTGTACTTTTGATCTGTTTTACTGCTGCTTTTAAATGAAACTTAAATCAAGCTTTTGTACTTAGTGTTTAAAATTAATGTGATATCTCACTTCATGTAGCCTGTGTGAAGCAGGGCAGCTCTGAATATAGATTTGAGAGGTAACTTTGTAAGAGAAGAACATAGGAAGAAAAGGTATGCACTAAATGACATTTTCACAAATGAAGCAAAAGTATTTAATGATGGGTTTTTTTCCTTTCCTTGTTTGTGTATGTATGCATTCAATAATATTTCTTCATTTGCAAATTTCAAGCGGTCTGCCCTGTGCATGGAAAATTTGAAAACATCAGTGCATTGTAGATGTGTTCATTTGTCAGATATTTGTATCTGCAAATTCCACCGTAATTAGTATTTCTCTACCATTGGCAGGTGGCAGCAACTCTAAACAATCTTGCAGTACTTTATGGTAAACGAGGAAAGTACAAAGAGGCTGAACCGTTGTGTAAGCGAGCTCTGGAAATCAGAGAAAAGGTATGAGTAAAAGAATACAGCACCTTTGAATAGATTTTTTTGAGGGACGGATCAAAGATAAACACTTTAACTTTTTTTATGTTTTAGTTGGGTAGATCTGCCAGATAAACCACGGAGTTAGCAATGCCCTAGTAGCTAGCAGTGTCTGAAATTCAAACCAGTAGTAAATTCCAGTAGTCCTACAGAGCTGTTGGAACGCTCTGGGTATATTCTAAATTCTGTATTTTGTAATTAACCTTTTTTACCTTTTTCTTTCCCCTTTGATAGTTAAGTAATCTTTGATTTGACAAGAGCATTGGAATTAAAAAATTAAACCATTAACATTTTAAAGTTGATTATTCTATAACTATGTGGATATTTATTGTAGTCCATGAAGCTGAATGCCTGCATCTTCAGGCTTCTTTGTATAATAAGCTGCATATGATGTTACTCTACTACTTACATTATTCCTGTTATGAATTGTTCTACAGCATTTTCAGTTTGTAATAGAATTGACTGATTTTCATATCTTTCAAGTGCAAATTTTGTTTTTGTTATCCTCATCTTGAATTGATGAGGAATAAAAACTAATGGGGTATTTCTAAATCCTGATACGATGATTGGAGAATGTTTTAATACAAAGTATTTCATTTTCAGGTTCTGGGAAAAGATCACCCTGATGTTGCCAAACAATTAAATAACTTGGCTTTACTATGCCAGAACCAGGGTAAATATGAGGAGGTTGAATACTACTATCAGAGGGCACTGGAGATTTACCAAACTAAGCTGGGACCCGATGATCCAAATGTTGCGAAAACAAAGAATAACCTGGTAAGCCTTTTATAAAGTAAATCTAAGTAGTAAAATTTTCTGGTGAATTGAAATGCACCTTTATTCAACATGTATTGTATTTATCAAGCTAAATAAAACAATGGGCTGATATATCTTTTGGGGGATATTTTGCTTTCAGGCATCCTGCTATCTAAAACAGGGCAAATTTAAGCAAGCGGAAACTTTATACAAAGAGATTCTTACTCGTGCTCATGAACGGGAATTTGGCTCTGTAGATGGTAAGAAGCTTAGTTCCTAGATTTGAATGTATGCTTCATTTTTGTAGTTGTTACGAAATAAAATCTGCGGGAAGTTAATTGTATCCTGATTAAAATTCTTGTCTGCTTATGATAGACTTAAAAAAGTCTTATAGATGCATTGAAGTACATTCATAAGAAAGCATTTAAATACAGTGGTAACATTTGATTCAAAAGGAAAGGTTTTCTTACATGAGGTAGACTTGGTAGGTTTATGTTTTATGGTTTGTATTTCTGGCATAATTTATCTTATGCCCAACAAAACCAATTTTGGTATTTTTATAGAGGCAGGAAAATATATGTCACTTTCCAGTCACAGGAAAAAGTACAGGATTTTTAATGATATAATAAATACATTGTTAATGTGGGTCCTTCATTAATACGTCTAAAGAATGGGGGAGATACCCTTAAATTGTGAATTACACTGTACATTCAAGTTGAATGCATTTTATCAACTATAAATCACAGTAAAGAATTTTCATTGCATTCCATGACAGTAGCATATGCACCGCTTAGTAGATGTCAAAACAGTTGTTATGATAAAAGAAATAAATGTGTGTTTTCTGGCACGGAACTAGGCACATGACAAATCAACGGCAGCATATACTGACTTCAAAGCTTCTCAGAAGTAACTGTTTCGAAGTTCAGATAACAAAAGAAGACAGAATTGTGAGACTATAAAAAAAGAGGTGCATGTTTTATTTATCTGCTGCTTGTAGGATGGACAATAAGCTTTTTTGTGGTGGTAATAGTATATTTCTCTGCTTCAGAACTTAATTTCAGAAGAGGGCAATGTCAAACAATGAATATTTTGTAGTTTTGTACTTCTATAAAATATTTTCTTCTGTTTCATCAGATGAAAATAAACCTATTTGGATGCACGCGGAAGAGAGGGAAGAATGCAAAGTAAGGCCATTGTCATAAATCTGGTTTGTAGCTTTTACTATTTAAGTTACAAATCAGTTATTTTTCTTCAATATTACTTTTGTTTTAGGGAAAGCAAAAAGATGGCACATCTTTTGGAGAATATGGTGGCTGGTACAAAGCTTGCAAAGTTGACAGGTGGGTAATTTCTTTACAGGACAAACAACGCAGCAATACTCAGTATCTAGAAATGTCAGATTAAAGCATGTTTAAAAAAAACCCCAAATCAGATGCTTACTTAGGACTATAAAAACTATAGTATTAAAAATTCAGGCCCCAAGACTGAGTTTCAGGAACACTAGCAGTTTAAGTCTTGGGGCTGCTTTTAATCTTGGCTGGTTAGATCTAGTAAGAGCCATAATTTACCGCTTGTGTTCTTGGCAGTCCTTCACATGGAAGCGTAGGTCACCTTTCTTTCTTTTTATCCTGTTGGTTGGCATACGTGCTCTTCTTGCCCCAGCAAGACCTCTAGAGAGGGCCAGAAGCAAAAAGGAGACTGTGCAAACAACTGAGCCTTGAGTTTTCTAGCTGGCACAAGAAACAAAGATAAACTGCCACAATTCAGCATTATTTGAGTTTCTAAAGCTTGAAGAATACAGTTTTGTGTGAATGAAAACGTATACCTTAAAATGGAAGAAGAGAAACAAGGACTTCAGCTTGGATTATACTTGGTGAAATATTTTTTTGTTTGCTTTAATTTGTTCCTTAACTGCCTTTTTTTTTTAACATGCACATGGTACAATGTAAGAAAAAACCTGCACCTAGTACCGATAATGTTCAGTGATGGCTTTTTTGTTTCTTCACTGTTTGAATTCTTATATTTAACAAGCAACAGAACCTTTGTACTGTTGAAATCTGCTCTTTTTTCTCCATCCTGAACTCTGGGTGCGATACACTTCGGTTTGTTTTTCATGTACTAGTTCATTCTGAGGAAAATTTTTTTTCTCCGCTGTTGCTAGAGTGAAATTTCAAGCAACAATACTGTGACTGAGCTAATTCTCCTTGTGTCATTGAAACAAAAATGTCTTGTTGGAGTGTGAGACTTGTTAATGCAATGGGTGATTATTTTTTTCCCCTTTATTGTTCAAATGTAGTTTGAATGCATAGAAACTGCAGAGAGCTAGTAAGTGAAAGCCGATGAACTAGTAATTTGTTTTGTGACTAACACATGCTGCAGTAATGGTCACTGTACGCACGAGTAGGCATATTTTCAGGAAGCTTCACAATTATTCAAATGGACACACTCAGTTTGAGCTAATTTTTCAGCTTGAGATGAATCTGAGAAACACAAGGATACAGCACTCCAGTTTTGTCTTGAGTAGATCTAGAGACTAGTTACTGACTTCCAGTTTCAGGGCTGTTGACTAGTTATAGTGTGAGCCATTAATGCACATTGAAAGGGGTTAACAGGTTTTTCCATTGTACGTGAAGTACAGTATAGTATATTTCAAGAGAGATTTATTAAACAATTACAAAAATACGATAAATACTATATTAATTCAAGCTTTTATTAGTTTGTGAATCAAGGGGATTTTTTTGTGTGTGTATATTTATACACACTTTTTTCTTTTCTTTAAATAGTCCAACAGTAACGACTACCTTAAAGAACCTTGGGGCACTTTACAGACGACAGGGCAAATTTGAAGCTGCTGAAACATTAGAAGAGGCAGCAATGAGATCTCGTAAACAGGCAAGTATGAAGATTCACCTTAATGGTATTTCTGAATTGTGGTCATGCAGATTTTCAACTTCAGTATCTGTTGTACATGCAGAATATGTAAACTTTTAGCTGTTCAGTGTCTGGTGCCAGGTGTTGCCGTGTAATTTCAGTCTGAACTGATCAATACCATCTTAACACTTGCAAGGTTAATTGCTAGGGCAGCGGCACCGTGTACCGGGGGTGAAATTATATGGAAAATAAAAGAGCAGAAAATACTCTGTTGGCCACCGGTCCTCAGTTGGCTACATGTCCTGGGAGAAGGACTGTAGCTGGGGGAAAATAGAGAGTTTTTCTGTTGATAATCTTCTTTGCCAGTAATGCCGTTCAATGTTTAATAAGGAGCTGTCAAACTTAGAAATGTTCTGTTTCTGCATACAACTGACTGACTGGTGTAGACCTTCAGAAGACCATTATAAATTTATCAGTTGGTGTTTCTGTTACTTTTGTAAGCTGATGGGATGGATATTACAGTTTAAGGAGGCACTATAATTCTTTTAATGTGGAAAAGTTCTGTGCTGTCTCTGTGCTCTCAAATCTGCTGTTCAAGTAACCCTTTCTCACAGTCTTAGAAGGTGGGAGAGAGTTTGGTTTTGCTGGGGTTTTATTGGCTTTTTGTTTTTCCTTTCCTTTTTGGATGATTTGATACAATGGCTTTTATAAAAGTACATAAGACCAGACAAGCAAATGTGGCTTGTCAATCAGTGTTAATATGGAAAACAAAATGAGAAAATATAAGTGAATAAAAAAAAAAACCAACTTGAAAAGTTCAATTTTAATTTCATTTTTATCAGTAAATAAGATTTTTTTTTTTGTTTCCCAAGAAGAGGTTTGCTTTGGTTTGTTTTTCTTATAAGTCCATATGAAATTCTAAACTCAAATTCTAAATTGAAGTAAACTGACTTAGATGATGGATCATATCTTTATTGATAACATACTGGTTTTTATTGGTCATACTGATTTGAAGTTTTATTTTAAAGAATGATACTGCAGTGTCTCATGTATATAGAAGCAGATGTCTGGAAAGGGGAGAGAGCAAAAAAGTTCCTGGCAAACCTCATGCTCTTCTAGTGAATTCAGTAACAGTTCCCTTTCATATAAGGTGGTGTAAGTTCTGTCTTCCACAAAAAATGATGGAAAACTTGCAAATGTTTGTATGAATCTAGGAGAAAAGTTCTTCAGCAAGGAAAATTCAAGGGTAGGAGGGAAATAGTTGATACAGATACTTCCTTTTACTGAGGATGATTTTCACATACTTTTACTGAAGAGTCATTTTTGGTGTCTCTCATTCAGATGTGATTTGAAAATAAGAAATGAATGTGCACTGCATCTTAGCATATTTGCTTTGGTTCTTGGTTCTACTATTACCATTACATGTGCTAATTTTTTAGTGTGAACAGATACAACCAGGATAAATTGGTATAATATAACAGTAAGAAGAAGACTGGAAGAAAACTTAGCTTGTAGTTCTGTTTGGTTCCTGTTTTTAATATTAAAAAAAAACCCCGAATAAACCCAAAACAAAACAGAACACTAGCTTTTCAAGTTCAGATTTTTACTGTGAAGCCTGGAATTGATTATTTGGAAATTAAGGATGGGAGGATCTTGCTATTGGAGGAGTCTCTTCTAGAGTCCCCGTTTACTTAGCTCACTTCTGGCTTGTCAGTACCATTGGAAAAACTGTTCCTTGTCTCCATTTTCCATAGAGCCTGTGGGAGGCTTGCTGCTGCTACTTTATTTTTATTAAGCATGCTTCCGATTTTCATTGGTGCATCATATACCACCTCTACATTATGCCATAATCTATCACATTACACTCAGCACTAGATTTGGATGTGCAGGAAACAATGCTGTCTTACTAGCAGCATTTAACACTACATTTCTGTTTTAGGTCATTAAAGTAAAGGAGGACAGACAGGGTTAATGCATTTCCCCTTTTGAGCTAAAAACAAAGAGGTACTTTTGTTCCCAGGTGTGGAAAAGCATCAGTTCTCCACAGCTCTGTTCTCCTTCATGCGTGTTTTGTTTGCTTTAGCTGCTGGGTATATATGCTAGAGTTTTGAAGACCAGTGAAGTTTGTGATTTTAAATACTTTTATGCTTTTCATGTTCTGTGCTGCTAAAGGAATTGGTGCAAAAGCAGTTTTGAGCCTACGCTTCTCTACTGTCTGTGAGCTCTAGCCACTCTTCTGGCCATACAGCCACATGGAAGTGAAAATGATGTGAACATTCTATGTTGGTTTCATGCTTCCTTGTGTGTGGAATTCCATTTGGGAGGGCTGTTCTGTTCTTCAGTGGAAAGTAGCTATATGGGAACCAAGAACCTGATTTCTCTATGTCAGTAAAACAACTTTAATTCTTATTCATGCACTTGTTTTAAGTAGAATTTTGCTTGATTTTTATTTTCTGTATTGTGATAGACGTCATGGATTTGTTGCAGCACTTCCCTGCTGTGTTTACTGCTAATGCTGCACAGTGAAAGATGCAGAGTATTTTCTTATGTGTAAGGCATTCATCTGGGATTTCTTCCTATCAGCAAATACCATTTATGATATAGAGTAGATTTATTATAAAGAAAACTGAAAATAAGTATGAGTTGAGCCTTCTTATTTTCTAGTTCCCGTGTTAAAGATTTTTCCTTTTTTTTTTTTTTTTAGTGCAGGGTTTTCATAGAAAGGATTTTAGCACTTCTAAGATACTTAAAGGATCATTTGGTAATGGATGAACATTCTTTAATAGAAAGTAAACACATGGTCAAAGATATATTGACCATATATGTAGTCTACTCTGTCTATTATAACCTTATTTTATATATTAATTCTTTCTGAAGGATAAATTATATTACTGTATTGTGTCATATGTCAGTATTTTTAAATAACATAACTGTGTCTTAGGTACTCAGACATCTGCAGCATTCTTTCCAAAAGGTGGGTGAATACTGCACCATTTGATAGGTGGAAACCTGAGAATTGCATTGACTGTTCATGATCTCTAAATTGCTTAAATATTAAGCTGGTGGCCAAATGGCTTCAAGTAAGTGACATGAACACCATGAGGCTTTGACATGTGATAGAGAAGGAGGAAAAGAATGGCAAGTCACCGAATTCTCAAACTACCAAGCTGTATGCCCACTTCATACTATGTTGATTCCTGCAATGCATAAATGGCAGGTAATCTTGACTGCCCTTTGAAGCCAGAATCATGGTGATGGAGTTACAAGTTTGACTTCTTTCTTGATACATTTATTGTGTGTAAGTTGTAGATTAATACAGCTTGTAATAAAATAAAACCTTTTCCTATTTTACCTAATTCTCAGGGTCTTGACAATGTTCATAAACAGAGAGTTGCTGAAGTGCTGAATGACCCTGAGAGCATAGAAAAAAGGCGAAGCCGAGAAAGCCTCAATGTTGACGTGGTAAAGTACGAGAGCGGTCCTGATGGAGGCGAGGAAGTGAGTATGAGCGTAGAATGGAATGGGGTAAGTACAGTACACAGTTTAAGAAAATAACCTAGATTAAATTATCTCCATAACAGATATGGTTGTCCATTCACCAGCCTATCATGCTTTCAGTAGTTTCTTGGTTGATCTACTTTGTATCTTGTAATTTTGCAGAATCAATTAAAAAATGAAGAATAACATTTTGTTTTTCCTAACATAATGTAAAAAAATTGTAATATTGTAAAATTTTAAAACATCCTTTCTGTTGTTGTCCTGAATGGTGAAATTTCTTCAAGAATCCCAAGCAGTTGTATTTAACTCTAAGTGGTTTAATGCTGATTGAGTGTCCTGGTTGTGGTCTGGTGTACAATTGTTTGTCAGTGGTTTCTTTTTACTGGTAGAAATATTCTGGCAATTAACTCACTTTTGCTTTTGTCCTTTTGATGCCATGTTTGCCCAAATTTTAAATGTTTCTTTAAAAATACTGCATCTGTGGAATCACAAAGAACATTTGCTATGGACACGTATTAAGTGTTAGCAGTTTTAAAGCCAATTAAAGTGATCAATCTAACACAAAAATAATTCCAATCTCCTCCTTACCCAGCTCGTTAGAGGAAAGAACGTAACTTTTCAAACTGCTACACAATCTGTTTTAAGAGGTGGTGCCGTTACATAACAACGTGGCAGTAACTTCACATTTCTTAAGTGAAATATTTCTATCACTTTGCCATATTAGAATTTGACTGGAGTCAGGGCTTTTTGTTTCTCATACATTGGCTTCACTGTATAGCACTGATTGTCATAAAGTAAAAACATATATATAATGTGATTACACTTGCATTTTTTCTAACCATTGTTTTCCTTTATTAGAAAGACAGTGCAAGCTTTCAGTTACTGATCTGGCTTATGTAGTTGGTTGTTTCTGTCACCAGCTTTCCCATGCTCTATCCCATTGCTGGCAATGGGATATATATTGCACTGTTAACTAACTCCCAGCTGCAGTTCTGCTGAAAATACTCTGTTAGATTATAAAAGTGATGTTGCCTGCTTTTGCTTTGTGGGAGGGGAAGTAGCCTACTTTGCAATATTGAGTGTCCTGAAGTTTCATTTCTTTTACAATAGCAATCTTTTTTTTTTCTTACTTTTTGGGGTTTTTTTAGCTACATGAGACAAAGTTTAGTATTTCAAAGAAACTTTGATAAAACACATCCTGCTTTACTCTTAAAGGAGAATGTTCTTTCCATCTTTGCTTTTGTCTCTTTATTATTGTTTTCTTGGCATTGGTGTTCTCAGTGCCAAGACAGTCAATCAGCATCTATTGTGAATAATACTGCATCATAAATAAAGCCAAAGTAAGGTTGGATAACTCTCTTTTTAATTCTCATTTTGCCCATTCAGCATTAGAACTGTGTACTGTACTCCTCCCTTAATTTTCGCTGTACTTTGCATGACTATATGTTCTTAATGGATTAAACTTTTTTCTGTTATTGACATTAATTAATCAAGCATGCAGGTTTTGGATTGAAAAGACCTTCTGGAAAAGCAATAGACAGTATTTCTAGGTCAATATTTGAATCAAACTCAGTGATAAAATTTGTTGATCTGAAAAATTAAATTTTCACCTCTGAAGGCAAACAAATTTTTCATTTTTAGTGTGCTGAAGTGGCATTGCTTTATTCTCATCTTTGTTATTTCTTTTTTTCCCCTCTTAAAGTATTTTGTATTACACGTTTTACATAAAGTGGGCAACTCTCTCTCCTACCCTGCTAGTGTTTCTATCTCAGTGCTGTTCTTCCCTCTACTTCATATAATGTAGGGTTGTTTTTTTTTACCCTTGTGTGTTCCCTCCAGACAAAATATTCTGATTCATAAAGTATAGTAGAAGTTTTTACTTGTGTGTGCAGAGTCTGAAGAGAGGCCTGCCTTTTCTGTTTAAATTCTTCTGAAGTCCTCATGCTGACTCATGTTCTTGGCTATCAGAGAGAATAGGTGGAGTGTGTAAAGCAACAAACTTCAGCAAAAAAATTTTTTTGGAAGATTTATTGTAATTAAGTGACTTCTATATTTAATATTAAGCATGATATGCTTTGACATAATGTCTTCTGCTCTTTCAAAAAGAACTGAAATACCTGTTGAAGTAAATCTGCCGTTGACTATTAAACCAGACATGTTAAGTTGAGGTTATGTCCATCCCTTAAAATTAACAGAAGATACTTGAAAATGCAAATAAATACTTGGTCTTAAAAATTCAGGGTAGAAATCCCAAGATTTGTATCTCTTATTATATATGTATGTAAAAATGGCAGTGGGTATCTGTAATTGACGTTTTTGTAAATCAATCTTGTGGCCAGTTAGAGGACAGATAAAAATCTTCATGGTATGATAGTGTTTAATTTAAGACAATGTTTTTAGTGTGAGGAAGTATCTCTTATTATTCCAACCTATATGGTTCAAAAAGACAAGCTTTTGGGCACATAAGTCCGCTTTTAGGTGTGAAATGAAAGCAATACATTTCACTACCATAGCGCAGCCAGAGTTGCTCTTCTTTAAGAAGTGTCAGAGCAGCGTTGTAGCAGATAACTACAAAGTACAGGTGATGATGATGGTGGGGAGGTGTAAGCAAAAGTAATAAGGTGATTCTCATCCTGAGTGACATAAAATTTGACAGTTAAACTTTGCCATAGAAATGGATATATCTGTGGGGTTTCTTTTAATTTATTTACAGTAGAGTTAGAAGATTTTTTTAATCCTAAAATCATGCTTTAAAGGTGTTTTGTTAATCATGGAGTTAGTGTTTAACTTGGAAGTTCAATGTTTTTATTTCAGATTTGAAGTACCCAAAAGCTTGTCTATTTATTCCTAATGTGCTAGTTAGCATAATAAAAGTTACACTCTATACCTACCAAATTTGTCTTGCCTTTTGTTCTTTGGATCATTATCACTTCTATAGCATCACTGGTTTAAGACCAGAGGAATAATTAGCCTTTTCACTGATCTAATACTTCTAATTGGAATTTAGACTTCGATTTATTCAGTCCTGCAAAGCTGAAGTCTGTTTTTAAGTGTGAGCAATATATGCAGTTTAGTTTGAGACATAAATACTTGGTTAGATTTTGATCTTCTAATCACTTAGTAGCAAGGCATTTTGCCATTTCCAAGAATAATTTTAATTACTGTTCATTCCTGTTGCTATAGGTAAAGGCTCTCAAAATTGTTATCTTAAGACTCTCAGTAATGGTTTCCGTACTTAACACAGAACGGAAAGCGTGTAATTTGAATTACAGCTTATATTAAAAGGTGGATTCTTTCAGCTGCCTTAGGGAAATGTTCCACTGCATTAGGGAAATTTCTATGTTATAAAAAATACTCATGAGGTCAGTTGGATTCTAATTCCTTAAAGAAATGAACAGAATTTTGTCTGGAGGTTAGGGAAGACCTCTTTCTTCTTGCAGTTTTGTTTCAAAGAAAATTCCTGACAGAAGTTAAAGCTGAAATGAATGCACCTTGCTCTGTTCCTTTCTTCTGTTGTTTTTTTCCCCCCTTTATTTTTGCGTTAATGTCAGCTGAAAAAAAAAAGTCCTGTATTTACAAAATGTAATACTAAAGCTATCCCTTCTTAAAGGTGTTCTGTATTTTGTAATTCAAACTTACAGAATGCACAGCATCATTCATGCTTGTTTGTAAGTCGCATATAAGTGATATAGGCGAAACCGTATAAATCCGTACGTTCTGGTAATTGCAAGGGCCTGCACTTTGTACTAAGGGCAGTGCAAATGCTTCCTCTGGGGAAAAAATTGTCTTGAATGTGACCTAGAAATACTGTAAACATAACTGTTCAAAATTTGAAAACTGTTGAATTTTTCCCAACAGTTTCATTCAGTTTTTCTCTCTCCGTTTCTGACAGGCCTAGATGCCTTTTGTGATTCTTATACTGTCTCCTGCATGACGGGCGTGCACCATCTTCAAGCTTTAACTTCTTTCTTCAGTACTGACTGCTGTGTTTTAGCAAACCCCTTAAGATTCTTGTCAGAGCTACACTTCCCTGTAAACTGGCCATTCCTTCAGTGCTGGTGTCTTTTTTTGGTTTTCTATTTCTGTACATGTGTAGCTTTGCCAGATATGTATCTAGTCATACAAAATGTTATTACAACCATTTGCTGTGTAATACATTAGTAAAAAAAACAAAACCCAAACCCCAACCAAGTAATGATGAACTTTATAAGTAGCTGTTCACTATGGAAAAAAGGTAGTTAAAAATATCACACAAGGTATTATTGAAATGGCATGACGGTGATCTTTACAGGAGAAAAACAAAACCTGTAAAAGTAAGGCATGTTCTTCAAGTGCTTTAAAATGTATTTAGAGACCTATTACATGGTTAACATCAATATGGAACTCTGGATGTCTTCACTTATGATTATTCTAAAGTAGCATTGCTGTTTAGTCTTTGTGTGAGATTTTGGCAATTATGCTTTTCTCTACTAATCTTGGTGTTCAGTGATTTGTGTATTTGTCTTTCTAACTTCTAATAAACTCACTCCAACTCAGGTGTCTGTCTCTGTCTGCTTAGTAGTACTTTACTTTCTTCTTTTACAATGCTTCTTTCGTAATCACATAGGATTCCTATGAAGTAGGAAGTGGTCACTTCTAATCCTACTAAACTGTTGGGTTTGGGTTAGTTGTGGGGGTTTTTTTAAGAGTAAAAAGTTTAAAAATAGTATTGTCGTCAATTGGAGGCTGTTTTGCATCAGCACAGCACTGTAAAACATGAATGCAATGTACAAAAAATTCATTTCATCATGTTTTACATTTTCTTAGTGAAAGTTAAAATGAAGCATAAGAATTTAACTGTACATGTTTCTGATCAGAAATGTTTTTGTTTAAGGATTTTAGGATTAATTAAACATGTTTGCAAGTAATGTAGGTGTTTAGAAAAAATAAACCAGGGGTTTTTTTTCTCAGACTCTGCTGGAATGCTTTTGCTTGGGGCTTGTACTCTGTTAAAACCATGCACTTATATGACATGATAACATGGTGATGGTGAATTGTTTGACTACTGTGGTGGGGTTTTATTAACTATTATGAATCATGGCTTGAGCATGTCTTCACATGTTAGAAATCTTTGTTACAGTTTGGAAGGAACCCTTTTGTTTTGGTAAAGCTGTAGCTATATGGTATTATGTCTTTGGGTAATTGTACCAAGTATGTATTAATAGCAATAAAAACTTTTTTTCCCTCAGTGAAATATTTTTGAACCAGGTTTGGGGGAGGGCAACAAACTCTTGCATTTTCACATTTCTTCAATTTTTTTCAGGATGGCACTGGATCTTTAAAACGCAGTGGCTCCTTTAGCAAACTTCGTGCTTCCATTAGACGCAGCAGTGAGAAGCTGGTTAGAAAGCTGAAGGGAGGAAGTTCACGAGACAGTGAACCAAAGAATCCAGGGTAATTATCTATTCTTAGCTGTGCCGGTGTGCCCTCGTTCTGTGCCCCCCACTGTAGACTAGTGCGATACCTAGGGCAGTGTTTTCTTCTCTGCTTAGCTAACTGCATATCATACAGATTTGTATCTCAAAGAAATATAAAATAGAAAATAATTTCTTAAACTGATAATGAAAGTTCTGTAACATTTGAGGAATTATATTTGCTTTTAAGAGTTAACTCAACTTTAACAGTGTTTCTTCCTTTTTTACTGCTTTAGCTGCTTGAAGACTAGAAAAGCCTCATAGAATTATTGTTAAATGTTAGTTACCTGCAAAATTCTCCTTTTCACACAGCAGTGAAGAATAATAAATGTTACTGATTTTTAAAATAAAAGCTTGACTACAACTAACGTTCTTGATATAGCTTAATGTCTTGATATATTCTTTATAGCTTTATACATTGCTGTGAGTATAAAGAGAATTCCTGACTTGAGCCTTCTCAGTTTCTATTTTTGGAAAACCCATATTTCAGAGAGCGGAGGAAAATGTTGAAAAACTTGAACCTAGTTGTACATCTCATTAACATTTTGGCCTCAGTGAAGTCAGTGGTAAAAATCAAATTTTAATGAATATGACTTCTCACTCTTTCCTATTTCACATATG